GAGTCCTGGACCTGGCGGCTTGATTTCTCTCTCTCTCTCTCTCATGCACACATGCACATACTCTGTCCCTGTCCCCCTCTGGTCAAATTAAAATAAATAAAAAAAGTTAAAAAAAAATCAACCTTAAAAAAAAAAAGGAATTTTTTTTTTTTTTTGCTATAGGGCACATGTGCTCGCCAGAAAGACAGAGAAAGACAAAGAGACAGGAAGCAAGAAATCACCCCCCCAGGGGAGATGGCCACGCTGCAATCCCTGTTCCTCCATTCTATCAGAATCTTGGGTACACATGTACACGTGCCCAGTGTGAGCTTAAGCCACCGGGTCCAGGGCCCGAACCACGGTCAACTACATGAGAGTCCAGCGACATAGCCATTACACCAACTGCTGGCCCCAATAAATAATTCTTTAAAAAGCAAAGTGTGGTCTTGGGCCAGCCCATGGTCCGGTGGTTAAGGTGGCTGAATCCCACATGGTCAACTGTGTGGTTTGAGTCTCAGAACTGGTGGCTTGAGAAACCCACCAGGTGTGTATGTGTGTGTGTGTGTATGCCCAGAATCCCAGCAGAAGGAACAAATGAAGAAGAGATTGCAGCCTGCCCATGCTCCAGGGTGAGGATGCCTTCTCACTTTCTGTTTCTCTCCAGTGAGCACACAGGTCCTCCAGCAAGTTAAAAATAAAAAGTATGTTATCAATGACTCAAGTTTGAAGATTACAGAAAACCATACTGTAAAAGTCTGCCCTATGCTTGAGCCCCAAGTGCCTCAGTTTCCCTCCCTAGAGCCCAATATTTCCAGTTTCTAAAGTGATTCCTATAGCATGATCATTGGAGAAGTATAGAGTGCCAGGTGGGTGCGTTGTGAGGGTACCTAAGCCAGTCTAGAAGTTAGGGAATGAATGAATGAACAAATAATCACGTAAGTGTTTCCCTAAATGCCCAATTTTGCAGGAGGAAAGAAAGAAGAAAGAGAAAGTAAAGGGAGGACAAACCACCAGCCATGAACAGCTAGTGCTTTAAACCCTTGCACGGCCACCTGGTGGTCAGAGTCTGCTGTGATCCCCAGGGCAACTCTGTCCCGTGCTAGCTATTGGTCCAGACATCACCAACTAATCAAAGCAGCAGACACATCCTGGGGGTGGCGCTCCGTGCTGATGCTCATGCTTACAATGAAACTTACATGTTTACAATGTTCTGCCCAAATCTGCAAACACTTACATGCATACCAGACCGCACCCCTGCTTTTCGCTCCAAGATTAGAAGGGGCTCTGATGAAACTTGAACCATGAGCTGGAGAGATTGCAGAGGAACTGGGAGAACTTTCTTCCTCTCTCCAACCTGCTGTAAGATTATCTATAGTATCTGTCACCAGGAAGAGAGCAGGGTAATAAACAATCATAAAACTACAACGTATCAGGCAGATATTGTTTTTTGAGGTTGACAGAGGCAAAGTGACTTCCCTAAAGTCACCTAACCAGGGGAGCTGGCATTTGAACTCACGTCTGCTTGATTCAAAGCCCTCTGCACCTGCTGCATCTTCTTGCCTCTCATAACAGCTGCAGTGCTTGAACAATGCAGCATCCATCCCCTCAAGGCTCCTGGGGAGGCCCGCACTTTCCTACCATACCCTCATTAAGTGTCCTGAACTTCCAGGGAGAAGCCATATTTATTCTTCAGGGTATAGGCACATTACATTGGGCCTATGAGCAGCCCAAGGGACTAAAACAATAAATTAAAACCCCCAAAATAATTATTGGCTCCAAAATTTTCAAAGATACTGCAAAATTAAAATGAATATTTAATAAAATAGCTATGGAGAGACTCGTATCTACTAGTTGACTAAAATTGAATTCAGCTATTACACTTTCATGTATAAATACAGGATAATAAAATTCCCGAGAACACAGTAAACCATTTTTTTCTCAATCAAGTTCAGAATTGTAATAATCCTTCCACGTTTTTTATTAATCCTTTTTTTTTTTTTGAGAGGTTTTTGCTATAGGGCACATGCACTCGCCAGACAGAGAGACATAGAGACAGAAAGCGAGAAATCATCCCCCAGGGGGGATGGTCACACCGCAATCCCTTCTCCTCCATTCTCCTCCTGGGATCCTGGGCACGCACGCACACGCGCCCGGCGTGAGTTTTAAGCCACCAGGTCCGGGACGCGAACTGTGGTCGACTACATGGGAGTCCAGTGACATAGCCATTACACTAACTGCTGGTTCCCGTAATCCTTCCATGTTTTGAACAACAAAAAGAAATTTATATCGCATACAGAAGTGAGGTGCACTTTTGATATCTTTTGTATGACCCCAGGGCCTCCCCAGATCTAAGGAAGGTCCCAGAGGAGCGTGCAAGGAACCGGTGAGGACAGGGGAAGAACAGCCACTGCAGAGACCTCCGTCCTCACCTCCCAGCTGTGCTGAGCTTAAGCCCACAGCAGCCACCTCGGCCACCTCAGTGGGCCTCTCTGGATTTCTGTATCTCTGGCCTAAACAAAGGCCGAGGTCTGCCCGCCCAGCAGGCTGAGCCACCAAAGCTCTGGGGATCAGGGAAACAAAAGCAGAGAGAAAGCAGAGTGCTGACAGGGCCAGAGGCCATCGGCCACAGGCCTATAAAGAGGGGGTCTGCAGAGGAAGTGGCACCAGATGGAGACCCGGACTGTGCAGCGGGAGCTGGGTGAGTAAGGCCCTCACCCTTCCTCTCTTTCCCCTGAGGAGACACTCCCAGCAGACAGCCCCATTTTCCTGCTAGTGATCAGAGATTCTAGGGTGGCTGGGGAAGAGTCAGGGAACTCTGGAGAACGCAGCCTTCCTCCTGGCCCCCTGACAGGGAGCCACTGATATGACAACAACCATGGCCCAAGCAACTATAACTGGAGGTGGGGGACATGGGGTCCCAAGAAATGGAAAGCCTTCCTGGGTACAGCAAGGTATAGGGGGAAGGAGCTGGGGAATGTGGCTTATTCAAAGGTTCAGAATGGAAAGATTATCCTAGAGTTCATGCATCAGTCTCCAGGCCTGATAGCAGCCAGAGGGGTGAATGTCTGTCCTGAGTCAAAAAACCTGAGATGCACTTGCCTGTGTTCTTCTTCCTTCCCCTCCTTCTCTCTCTTCTTTCCCTTCCTGCCCTCCTTCCCTTCTTTACTCATCTCACCATCTTCACCATCTACCTAACCTCTGTGGGCCTTAGTATCCTCCTCTGTAAAATGGGGTATTGATAGTACTTCCCCCATAGGCTGTGGTGAAGATTAAATGCATGAGTGTAGGTAAAGCATTTGGAACAGGGTGAGCCATCACTAGGTGTTAACTATCTTGGTTACTCCCTTTCCTTCTTTACTTTGCTTCAACATGTCTTCTTTAATCCCTACCCCTCCCCATCCTAAAACGTGCTGGTTGTGGATGCTACATTAATCACCCAGAGGACCCAGGCTCTGTCACTGAGATGCTCACCCATGCTCTGTGTTAAATAGAAACACAGATCATGGGACCAGCATTTGGCGTAATAGCTATGTTGCTGCACTTCTATGTAGTTCAACGTGGTTCGAGTCCCGGACTCGGTGGCTTAAACTCATGCCGGGCACGTGTGCATGTGTGCCCATAGATCAGCACTGTAGTGAGTGCTGGAAATCAAGGAAGAAGGTGAGGGGCTGCAGGCTGGAGAAAGCAGGAAACCTCTAAGGAAGTAAGCTCAAGGTCAAGTAGGTCTAGGAAATACAGAAGCAGAGAAGGAATGGTAATGTGGCCACACACTGCAGCCAGGAGAGGGTGACCCTATGAAGGAGCAGAGCCCAGGCTGCCCTTAAATTGGGGGCAGGCCAGAGTGGGGATCTGGGCCGTGCTAGCTGTGTGGTCTGTCACATACAGGTCTGGACTAGATGCTTGTCAGGAAGTTCATATTGGGGCATGTGAGACTGAGACAATGCTATCGTCCAGAGACAGGTGAGAGGACAGGAGTGACATTTATCAGGTCACAAAGCCTGCGCAGTGCTTTTCTTGCACTGTTGTTTCTAATCCTTACAATAACTTCACGTAGAAGCTTTAACAATGGAACAACTGAGTGGCAGAACCACGGTCCCAGCCAAAGTCTATCAAACATCAACCTCCTTCACCCCATCCCCACCACACAGGCTGTCACTAGTGTGTCTTTCTGTCTTCCAGAAACCCTTCCAACCACCAAGATGGCTCAGACCAATCCTTTGCCAGGGGCCCTGGGGCCATGGAAGGTAAGCCCATCCCCAGCACATGAAAAATTGAGGACTCCAACAGTGGAGGGCTGAGATGCTACCACAGAGCAGGCCTAGCACCGGGCATGGGACAGTGACTGAGCAATGAATTACTGATCTATAGGAGAAGAGACTGACCTCCTATAGACGCTACTGAAGAAAGGATCTCAGGATACCTTCTGTCTTGATCAGAGGACAGATGACCTTTGGAAACTAAGTTGGGCAGGAGATGATACCTAGTTTCTTAGGTCAACTCTTCCATAAGCAAACGTCATCTTACAATAGAGTAGCCCAAAGGGGATTATGCCTATGGAGAAAATGAGAGCCCATAAATGAAATGAGATTTGCCACCAGATCCTAAATAAATCATAGGACCCTGTTCCTATCTAAAGTTAGTTTTAACCATTTGGTGAAGTGGCTGATCCTTAAGCTTTTCATGTTTCCTCAACACTGTCCTCTCCTCATCGAGCCAACTCTGAGACCAGTTCAGAGCTTGGGAGTTGTCTTCTGGCAGATCCAGAAGAAAATTCCAGTTTGAGATATGAAAGGGGTTTATCACAACTTTCCCTTTATAAAACCTTAGGTTTCTATAGTGGGTATGGCACAGAAACTAAGAATCTATAGAGAGCTTATGGGACTCCCAGTCTGAGCTACATTTACACAGGAAATACAGTGAAATGAGGGTTCACAGGGCTTTGGTCTGTCCATGGGCTGTCCATTGTCCCTGGCATAAACCGATACCCCCACATGGAAATATTACCAACCAGTGGTGTTACTTCAAACCTGTCCCTCTATCCTCCTAGACTGTAAGGGACCTCTTCAGACATCTTGGGCTACACAGCTGGTGACAGAAAGCACAGGGTCAGACGACACAAGCTAAGCTGTTAGCCTGACTCTATGCTCTTTCTGATGTACCAGATTCTAGTTCTATTGCCCTATTGGATCCCATTTCAGATAACCATCTATGACCAGGAGAACTTCCAGGGCAAGAGGATGGAGTTCACAAGCTCCTGCCCAAATGTCTCCGAACGTGGTTTTGATAATGTCCGGTCTCTGAAGGTGGAATGTGGCGCGTAAGTATGGACCTCAGCAGAACCGCAGGTCCCTTATTTCAGGTCCCTTCAGACATAGAATCATACAGTGGACTGGGGTTATAAATATGTTCCCCCAGACTCTGATTATTTCTTGGAAAGAATCCTTAAGTAAACTCAAAAGAAATCACTACTTGCAGAACATGAGGTTCCTGGTGGCTTCGTACTATTAGGTTTTCAGGGAAGTCAAGAGGTATTTTTCTATGTAAAATGCATTATGACTTTCCTGACAACCCAATAGATTTGCAGGGATGGTGAGAGTTTAAATAAATATACAAGGGGGCTTTTTTTTTTGGAGAGGTTTTTGCTATAGGGCGCGTGCGCTCACCAGACAGAGAAAGAGGGCTAGAAAGCAAGAAATCATCCCCCAGGGGGGATGGCCACACCGCAACCCCTTCTCCTCCATTCTCCTCTCAGGATCTTGGGCACGCATGCACACGTGCCCGGCGTGAGTTTTAAGCCATCGGGTCCGGGACGCGAACCGCGGTCGACTACGTGGGAGTCCAGCGGCATGGCCATTATGCTCACTGCTGGTCCCACAAGTGGACTGTACATCATTCTAGGAAAGATGGAATTGAAATGCAAATTTATTTAGTCATAAAACATGTTTCAAATCCATGCATTTTTTTTTCATAATACACATTTTTCACAAGCTTTTTCTTTAATTGTGCTAGTCAGAGTGAGGGAAGAGAGAAAGAATACTCCAGTGGGGCGTGGTCACACTGCAATCCTTTGCCTCCATTTCACCTCGCTAGGATTTGGGGCATGGTATACATACATGTCTGGCATGTTTAAGCCACTAGGGCCTGGATTCAAATTGCAGTAGTTGGCCATTCGTGATCTGGCTCCTGATGCACAACATTTAAATCCCTGTGCTCAGGCTGGCTCTTTTCAAAAACTTGTTTCAAGACCCCTCATATATGACGAATGACTGGGGTTAGTGACAGTACTAAGTGTGCTTCTGGAGTCCACAGGCCACTGCCTAGAATTCTCTCAGAACAGCAACGGGACCCTTACCTGCAGTCAATAGGTTGAGAGGAAATCGTGAAACAGCAGCCTCTGTATGACTAACTCTCCCCCTGCACGTCCCAGAGCAGACAGCTTATTTAAAACAAAACAAAACAAAACAAAAACAAAAACTCTAGGGCCAGCAGTTGTGTGGTGGTTAAGGTGCTAGACTCCCACATGGCTGACCACAGTTCGAGTCCTGGATCTACTGGCTTGCTTTCTCACTCTCCCTCTCTCAATAATAAAATTAAAAAATAGTATACTTTCTTTCTTTTTTTTTTTTTTGAGAGGTTTTTCGCTATAGGGCACGTGCACTCGCCAGCCAGTCCGAGAGAGACATAGAGACAGAGAGCGAGAAATCACCCCCCAGGGAGGATGGCCATGCCGCAATCCCTTCTCCTCCATTCTCTTGGGATCTTGGGCACACACGCACACGCGCCCGGTGTGAGATTTAAGCCACTGGGTCTGGGACGCAAATCACGGTTGACTATGTGGGAATCCAGCAACATAGCCATTACACTAACTGCTGGTTCCCAAAAAATAGTATACTTTAAAAAAAAAATAAAAAGGAACTCAACACTGGGACTCCAGAGATTTGTTAGTTCCTTGTCTTTCAAGAATTTACTTTTGACGGTTAATCACCTTGGCAAAGGAAGCCCTCTCATTTGAGTCTTCTCTAGGTAAAGTAGTTGAGGCCTTTACTATAACCTGAAAACCTGTAAGGAAAAAGCTCTCTTAGCCTAGGTCAGCTGGCTTTGCCCACGGATAGGATACACAAGTTGCTTGCCATCAAAATTGAGCTCTTCAGTCCTTTAAAATGGGCTTAAATGTATTATTAATGGAGACCCAAGTGTGGAAAGCTGAACAGAGGTGTTACACAGTAAATAAGGTATATATACGTATGGACTAGTCATCTGTCAGCTGCCTGTTCATCCCTTCGCTTCTTTAGGAAGAAGCCAACAGGCTTGGTTAGAACCAAACCAACAGTCACTAGATCCTGAACCTGGAGCTCTAGGTAGAGAATAGATGATTTAGGAAGAAAACAAAACTTTAGACTAGCTTTGTTAATGCACATCACCTAGGCCACTGGATAATCCCCAAATTATTACATTTACAAACATGGTTAGTGTAGTTGCCAGTTCATTCCCACCTCTTGTGCTAAATTTATTACTCTGTATGGCTTTCCTGGTCTTGGCTTGAAATTTTGCCTATTAACTTATCTGTATAAAACAAAAGATACCTTCTCCCTGAAGCTATGAACACCATAAACATAGACCCTATTATGTCTTTGGCAGATGGATTGGTTATGAACATACCAGCTTCTGTGGGCAACAGTTCATTCTGGAGAGAGGAGAATACCCTCGCTGGGATGCTTGGAGCGGGAGTAACGCCTACCACATTGAGCGTCTCATGTCCTTCCGCCCTATCTGTTCTGCAGTGAGTCTGGAATTTTTACTTCTGTTCATGTAAGGGATGGGCAAAGAGAGGGCATAGACATTTATGTTACTTCTCATCAGTTATACCAAATGCGGCAGGAGAGAGGAAAGCAAAACACTGCTCCAAGTATGCCATTCGACTTCTGTCTACCTGCTGGTATTATTGTGTTAAAATAAGGGTCTTGTAGGTGGCAAATAGATACTCAAGAGCTCAGTCAACTGGTGAAACACTAGTGAACTGGTAAAAGCACTTACCATGCAGTAGAAAGTAAATCTTTGGCCAGTTAAATTCCAACTGTGTAACATTTGATTGCAGCAATAGGGAAATGTTGATATAAGGAGGATGACTGAATTAGTAGCCAAGTTTTCTAGTATCTCCTATTAATTTATAACCACCTTACTTCTAACACTAAATATTCAATAATGTATCAGGCTAAGATGTTTTTAAGGTTTTCAGAAGAGTTCAAGCAGAAGCAGAACAACTTTCAGGGGTGTATTGAAAATGACCCCTACATTGGAGGGAGGCTGGGCTAGATTCAGTATGCATCTCATGACTTTTCTGATTATTTTAATCTCACCTTATTCAAAGTCCTATCAAAATTCACCTGGTAGAAAAGGTAACCTAAACAGTTGTATTTCATGTTCCTTTTCATTGTTTTCTGTAAAATGTATACATTCTATCTAAGTATATTCTCATGAGTTTGGGAGAATGTAGCTACCCACCTCACCAACACCCTGATCCTATATAGAACAATCTCATCACCAAGAAAGCTCTCTGGTGGTGTTTCAGACAACTGCTCCCCACTACTTGCTATCATGTTTTGTTAGTTTTTTTCCCCCTTTTGGAGAGGTTTTTACTATAAGGTGCATGTGCTCAACAGGAAGACAGAGAGAGAGAGACAGACAGACAGACAGAAAGTGAGAAATCATCCCCCATTGGGGGGGATGGCCACACAGCAACCCCTTCTCCTCCAATCTCCTCTCAGCATCTTGGCCAAGCATGCATACATGCCTGGAATGAGTTTAAGCCACCAGGTCCGGGACTCGAATCGTGGTCAACTACATGGGAATCCAGAGACATAGCCATTATGCTAACTGCTGTTCCCATGTTTCGATCGTTTTTCAGTATGTCACCTAGTATTTGTACACTCTAAAAGTTAAAGTATTTTAATTGGATTAAACAGAGTCAACGATAACTTTTCCCTTATAAATCTCTATACTGAGTCTTTTTTCAATCATGACCACGTACTTCCTTTTATAAACCAGAAAAGTTCAAAGAAAGAAACACAGTAATCTTAACACTAGCACTAAACACTGTAAAACAATTGCTCAATTACAGAATCATAAGGAGTCTAAGATTACCATCTTTGAGAAAGAAAACTTTATTGGACGCCAATGGGAGATCTGTGATGACTATCCCTCCTTGCAAGCTATGGGATGGTTCAACAATGAAGTTGGTTCCATGAAGATACAATGTGGAGCGTAAGTTCAAAAACATGATTGGAATATACTTCCAAGTAACTGCAGCAGGTGGAAGTCTTGTTGAATCTTTTTTTTTTTATTTAAGAATTATTTTATTTTACTTTATTTCAATTTGACCAGAGAGGGACAGAAAGAGAAAGTGAGAAAGCAAATTACCATGTCTGGGGCTTCAACTGCAGTTGGCCATGTGGGAGGCCAGCACCTTAACCACCATGCCACCTGCTGGCCCAGTCTTGTTGTATCTTAAGTCATGTTTTATCAGATTTCATACACTGTGCTACATTGGTATAGGTATCTGTTACTAGTCATTTTATTTTTTCTAGTTTTGCTCTATGACATGTGAACTCGCAAAAAGTAGAAGAAAAGTGAGAAATAGTCCCTTGGGGGACAGCCACGCTGGAATCTCTTCTCTATTCCACTCTTGAGATTTTGGGCATGCACACAAAAGCATCGTTTAATTCCCCCCCAACAAGTTGCAGGGTCTGGGATGCAGACTGCACAGTGGGCCATGTGGGATCCAGCCGCCTTAACCTCAGCATCACCTGCCCACCCAGTTATTAGTTATTTTAAGTCTTAAATTCTTATCACTTAAGATTACAGATTTCCCCCCCCCAGATAGATAGTACTCTACAGGAGCTTGTCATCTAGTCTTACAACTTTTCTCAGGATTAAGGTTAAATGTTTACCTATCGGATCAGCAGACGGTGTAATGGTTCTTCTGGATTCTATATAGTCAACCATGGCTCAACCCCCAGACCCCGTGACTTAAAATTCACTGGGGACATTCATGTATGTGTGCTCCAAATTTTGAAATTGAAAAATGGATTGCAGTGGGCCATCTACCCGGGCGGGGGCGGGTGATTTCTTGCTTTGTCTCTCCAGGGAACATGCATACCCTATAGCAAAAATCACTCAAAAAAATAAAAATGAGAAATGTTTAGCTGTCACTGCATTATGCTTACAGTGCCTGCCACACTTAGAATGGTCATTATTTCCTAAGTCTAAAGATATTTTTTTTTGAGGTATTTGCCTTAGGGAGTGTGCACTTGTGGTAGAGACAGACAGTGAGAGGCAAAGTGAGAAGTCACCCCCAGGGGATGGGCACACTATACTCATTTAACTGTAATCACACTACATGTGCCTGGTGTTTTTCACGCCATCCGGTTCAGGACTTGAACCATGGTTGGCCATGTGGGAGTCCAACAACATAATCTCTATGCCATCTGCTGGTTCTTAAAAGTATCTTATATTCTGTATTCAAGAGGCTCAGGCTTGGCAGTGTTGACCAAGTACCTAACTAGTTTTAATAATGCAATGTGTTTTGATTTCCTAGCTGGGTTTGCTACCAGTATCCTGGATACCGTGGATACCAGTATATCTTGGAATGTGACCATCATGGAGGAGACTATAAACATTGGAGAGAGTGGGGTTCTCATGCCCAGACATCCCAAATCCAATCAATTCGCCGTATTCAACAGTAGTGGATTAAAGGCTCCAAGAAAATTCTTCAAGCATGAGATCTTGCTAAGCACTCTAGAATGAATTTTATGTTCTGCTCACAGACATTGCTTCCAAATGTTAGCTGCTGAAATCCACAATAAATGTCATTTAAAAAAAAAAAAAAAACAACACCTTGTAGACTGGGTTAACTGCCATGCTTCACACAAATCACACTTAGGTGGCTGGGAATTTTTAGACAAGTTTCATTTAAACTCCAAACCAACGTTAGTGTCCTTACAAGTTACTCAACAGGCCAAGGATAGTTATTCCCTATCTCAAAGCACAATCAAGTATACAACCCAAATGTTGTATCTATAATGACATCTTAAAGTTTTGCTATAGAGCACATATGCTCAACAGAAAGACAGACAAGAAATCACCCCCCTACACCCTGGGAGAAATGGCCATGCCACAATCTTGCCTCCTCATTCCTCTCTTGGGATTTTGGGCATGCACACACATGTGCCCAGCATGAGTTTCCAGCCGCCAGGTCTGGGACTCAAACCACGGTCAACTACATGGGAGTCCAGTGACATAACCATTGTCACCTGTTGGTTCTGACAAATACACTTCTAATAAATGGCTTTCCATCTTTTTTGTTTTTACTAGTCCCCTAATACTGACATTGTTTCTTTTTCACTGTGTGAATCAGTGTTAAAAAGGTTCTCAACTGTGTATTGACATTTATTTCCATATAATGTTCTGAATAAATCCAGAATCTTGGCAGCTTATCATTCTAGTTGCTTAACTGCTTAAGCTCCATTTTTCTTCTATTTCTATTGGAAGAATGTAAGACTCAATGTCCTGCAAAAAAGCATGATAGTTGCTTTTATAGCTAAATTTTCAACAAACATGTTAATTCTAAGCATCATAATGGCCCCAAATCCAAAAAGATATTATGACCATAGTATATGTTAAGATTTAAATTCTTTATAGTTCCTTGGGGGTGGGGGGGCAGGAAATCAATGTTAACACTCTAACTTTCAGTCAAAGCAAACAAAAGATGGTAACACAAAGACCTCAGAAACTTTAAATTTTTTTATTCAACAATGTACACTTAATGTCTCTTAATGTGATCTACAAATTTCTCAAATTTTTCTTTTTTCTGATAAAATAAGTAAATCTGGGGTATGGTTGTAGAATGTAATTTATATTTTTAAAACACTGAACATGAAGTAAGACATCAATAAAGGAAGATCATCATGTAACTGATACTTCCTCAGAATCCATGATATCACAAATAGCTAAAGCAAATACCTAAGCATTTTGCAAAAGGGTAAATTTCTCATCATTGTTCTTATATCTAGAAAAAAATATCTTTTTTGATTGGGCAAAACCAAACATTCAATTTTTTTTTGGAGCGGGGAAGGAAAAACATTCTCTAAACTATACTCCCCTGATCATTCTTCCCTCCCCCAGATTAAGAAGTAACTCAGCTCTTAAGTATCTCTATGCATGAAGGACAAATTACTTTGCTCCTCCAGTATGTTCTGAGACTGAACATAACTGAACTAATGACAGATGTTGAAGAGCAACCATAACCATCTAAGATGACGATTTACGCTCCTGCCTTTCTGTATTTTAAGGCCACACATTATTGGCCACCTTTCAATTCTTGACTAGTAGGCTTAGTTTTTAACCACCACTACCAATGAAGATACATTAAGGGTTTTCTGTGTTTTCAAAGTCAACAATATATATCAAGGGCACACTTGATGACAGAGAAGTAACACTCTTCTATACATAGGAAAAGTAATAAAACACATATTTCTTTTTAATCTACGAGTATAGGGTAATTATCATTAGTAATGTCTACCACTTAAATTTATTAGCCTCTCCTACAAAGGTCCTAAAAAGATTAGAAAAAAAAACTTAAATCTTTTAAAAGATGATTTGACAATGTGGCCAGTATATTTACACAATTTTGTAAGTACACATACATGTGAAGTAAAGCTACTTAGTATATGCAGGCTGCAATTAAACCAAATAGGCCCAATTTCTCTAATCAGCTTGGGCAATTGAAAGCAACCTGTGCTTTGTTTTTAAGCAACTGAATGATCCTAATCTCAAAGCAATCAGCCATTAAACCAAATTTATGCTAAAGCAATAAAGGTAAAAATGCTATCCTTTAAACTAGTTTTAAGTCAAAAAAACTATCATAGAGTTCCATGTGGCAAAGGATCTTCCTTCATTTCAGCTTGAATTACTTCCCACTTTTATTTGATCAAAGAAACTGAAATTTCACTAAAAGCATTCAATGGTTCGTAAAGCTGATAAAACTGCCTTGTTTCGAGAAAAGCCCTTTAACAGATATAAGCTCTCATTTAAACTGAACTTACTGAAATAGGTGCCAATTTTCTTCTAGTTTCACTGATGAACTAGCCCAGAACTGTAACTTTGAGCCACATTTCCAAAGATGGTAAAGCTAAAAACAGCAGGAAGTAGTAGGGACAGGTAAGTCACTTCTGGTAATGACACACAAATTAAATTTTCAAAACATGTGCATAGCTTTATTCATCTACTTATATCTAACCTTTTCACGGAGCTTCGGCAAAATTCGAGTGTGCAAAGTGCATTTCTAAAACGTAATGCAAGCAAAGCTTTTCACATTTACACTGGCAGGAAATACAGAGAAACTAACAAGTCACATTAGGGAGAGTTCAGATTTTTTTTTAATGACAAAAATTGCACAGTTTATTATTGAGACAATTGTTGCAGACATAAATATTTTAAATTTTCTAAGCAAGGTGCTTTAACAATAAAAATTTTTAAAGTTGGAAAGAGCCGATAACTTAGATCATAGCTCACACGGAATTCCAAATTAAAGTGGACTCCATCATCTCCCTTGATTTTGCAAACAATGCTTTTTATAACACTTTTTCATAACACTAAAGGAGACAACAAGCTGAAACTTTTTCAAAGCACACAAGAAATGGTGTCATCACATTACTTGAAGAAGGTGCTGGGTGGGGGGAGGAAAGGGAGTGAAGAATCCTTTTACTATTTCCCACTACAAAACAGCCACTAACAGACTAAGAACAACAACAAAAAAAAAACAAAAACAAAAACAAAACTTAATCACTTCCCCAGTTTATAAAATAGTTCCAGTTTGACATATCTGTAACTTTAATCAGAGAGCACCAATTGGGCAATAATGAGCATTTCACACTGCATAAAAATCAGTGAGGTGGTAAGAACCATCAGCTATCTCAGACATTACTACAGGCCTTTCCGAGGTGTTTTTTTTTTTCTTTTTTTTTTTTTTAAATATACATGCAAGGCACATTGATATAAAAATAGATCTCTGGCCAACAAATATATTAAATAAGCAAATTAAAATTTTGGCTTTGCAATATTGGCAACATCAAAATATAACCAGATAGCTTTGGACCACACATCTTTCTTATATTCCTCCACCTCATTTGGTGTTTTTCTCCCATTATTTTGGGTTCATTCTCCTTCAAGTTTGGGTATGTACTTGGGAAATGACTTTTCCTCTAGTCAAGTAGTATTCTACTCTACTTAATTTATCCGTGCTAAGTAAATATATACTAGAAAAGAATAGTTAAGAGGTTGATTGATTTGATTAAACCATCTGATTGGTTCAGGGCAGCATTATTTCTCCTCTGAATTCAAACAAACAAAAAATAGTAAGCCTCCAGCTTATATAGTAGACAATTGTTTTCTTTCGGAAAGACCAACAACAAACCAATGACACTACATCCTTTCAATCATTCTTCCCAATTCCTCTTTTTTGGGCAGGAAGAAAGAGTAATAGAAACAAAGACTTAAAATATTTTCAGTAGTAGAAGACATTTTAAGGCCAAAAAGTGTAGTTTTAACAGAATTTCTATTTTCCTAAGTTACTGTCCATAATGGGGCAATACAATGGATTAGTTACTATGTACTGACTCCCTCTCAAAAAGAATTTTAAAATTCATTTACCTTTATTAGTGGCTGTGCTACAGGAAAGGTACTAGAGCAACCTATGGTATATGTATGGTATATAGAAATGTAAAAAGTGCATCACATTCTTGATTTTCAGTTCTCATAGCAGCAGCAGGATTAATCTAAGACAGAAAACAGTTGTATTTTCATTCTAAAAATGCAACAATACCTAATGAAATGTATCGAAGATCATGAAAGCATCCTCTTCAATAAAGAATGAAAACAGACTAATAAACAGGGGCAAACTAAATGCATTCATTCATATTTACATATTAAAACCACTTTTGTTAACAAACCTAACCTTTACATCTAAGGAAAAAAACAAACAAACAATAAAACAAAAAAATCCACTCATACCAAAAAAACGCATTTTAAAAATAAAGCAGACTTTACTAAAGCAGTATCCATTTTTGGAGCCTTTTGTTTTAGCACCTGAGGAAAAAAGGGTATATGGAAAGCTATATAATTTACCTTAAGTTGGTTTGTTGGTCTAGAGTATGACTCTGATCAGTGAAAAGTGAAACTGAACTGGAAAATGAATGTTTGTAGCTATTTTAATAAGGCTGTGGAAAAGGGATACTGCAGTATTACAAAATGGCTTTAAAGTTCTGGTCATAACAAAATTTTATGGATAAATATGAAGTCTGAATCAGTTATTCCATCACGTAAGAACGGCTGGCGATAGTTTCTACCCCATAATTGCAATTTTACACTCCCAGTAATGCAGAATATATACCATTCATGCTTTACTAGGTGCTTTTAAGAAGACAACTTAAAAACCCTATTCATACTACTGCTGGCATCCTTTAACTACTTTAAGACCTTTTTAGAGCAGCAAAATGGTGTGACATTAAATTTACAACCTAGTAAAGCAGGTCTTTTGAGTAAAGCCAATGCTATATTATTCTTCAAACCAATCCAGGGTGGTCCTGGTTCTCACATATCTGAACAGATTGATGTATAGTTTTAAGTAAACATTTAAGATAACCAAGCAGAAGCCCATCTTTTTCACAATTTAAAAAACCCTAATGTTGTTGACTAATTACATTAAAAAAAAAAAACAACACACACACACACACAAAGTAATGTTAACCTACATGCCTCTGGCAAACTGAGAGCAGCTCTTTATGCTTTCTCGTCTTGTCCTCTGTTCCTCCCTTTTAAACAAACATCAATCCTTTTGGGGAAGGAAGAACTCTTACCCTCTTTCCTTTAATTATGGATTAAAATATTGAGACTGCTCTATCACAATCTACCTTGCCTGGTACATCAACAGATATGATAAAAAAAACTATTGTTCATTATATATTCATCCCACTATAGTGTATCTGTTCTCCTCAGTTCACAAATATATTCAAGAGGGATTATGTTGAGGACATGGCTGTCCAGTGGCATAACTACCCATAACCCTTAGAAATTGA